TTAATTCCTAAATCACATCGTGCACACCGTGTCCTTGGACATACCGTCGTCTTGTCAGCAGACGGACGTACCCACACACTGTGTCACAAAGAGCCCGGTCCATCTGATTTCAATTCGAGCATCTGCTTGAATCGAATCAAATCACTTCTTCTGAGAAGCTGGAGAAGTTGAAGAATTGATGACAAACAGCCTTACTCATGGGAAACTCACAGGATGTGTGGTTCCACATATCAAAGAGCGGATGTGAGAACAATGCCCCATGTTATTGTGATCCCTAATATTTTTCAGCTTTAGTTCCTCGCACAACGTCGAGCAATTATTGATCCCTCGGCTTTGACACTTTAGAGGAAAGGGCATTAAAGTGATTCATCTCGTCCTCTTTTAATTGTCGAATTGAGAAAGAATGAGAAAAAGAGTTAGTAAACTGGCTTTCATTAAAGCGGGATGAGCTGTTTTTAATGTTTTTTTCTGTGCTATTAACTCATCGCACATCGACCGTCCGCAGAGTCGAAATATGTCATTAGTCAAATAAGGAATTGAAATCACAAAAATGTATGTATTTTCAGGTATATGGTAAACTCTGGATGAAGGAACTGTAAACTTTCTTTGTTAATTTACTACGATAAATCAATATGGCTGCTGTATTTTGTTAAATACACACACACACACACACACACACACACTGAGCTGCGACCACACAGATACTTTATTCTCAGAAATAGAGACAAGGCACATTAGTAGAAAAAAAAACATAATAGCATCATTCTTCTGTTCAGGAGGCCTTTCCAACTTGAAACTGAACTCATTTCTTTCCTTTAAGGCATTTCATTCATTTCACCAATAGAGCTCTTGAAAAGAAGCTACAGCCTTGGCATGGTGCTGCAGACTGTCAGATTAGAGTAAACTGATCCTGCTTCCCTGTTCTGTCTCCGAGGCCTGGCATGATCAGGAAAACGCCCATGACAGTTTGGCTGGTGGCCTTGCTAAAAAGTGAACCTGCTTAAAATAAAATAAAAATAAAAAATGTAACATTGGAAATCAGTTTTTGAAGAGTTGACATGAAAAAAAATAATGGTCTCCCTTAAAGGTGCAGTCCCAACATTGTGCCAGCTTCCAACCAGGTCGGGCCAATGCTCAGAAGACTTTCTATCCAGAATGCATGGGCCAGCATTTTTCTTCCAGCTAATCAGCCAGTGAGAAGCAAACTTAGACACATGTGAAAGCCAGGCTGGCAGATCTGCTTGCATGCGTGTGAACACACACATGCACACAAATGAGGCAATAATAAGGTTGATAAAACTGGCGAGCATGGTGAGGAATTAAGCAGATCACACCCTGTTCCTGTCTGCAGCTGTGACTGAACAGTAGAAAGGGAAAAAGGTCAAATGCATTGGTCAGGATGAGAGGACTGGAAGGGTTGGTTTAACCTTTGACCTCAAAGTCAGAGCTACGAAGAGACATCTGACATCCAGGTCTAAAAGGTCACATTCTCTAAAGATATCTCTGTGAATGCTCCGCCCCCGTGCTGCCCTCTCAGACCAAACCAGGCCGGTTAATTGAGGGAAGTGTAACTGTGCAGGAGAAGAGGGTAAGAGCGAGACGGCTGAGGGAGCGCGGTCTCTGCGAAAGCATAACAGCCGATTTCCCCCCCTTTTGCCTGGGGCCCAGCGTAGATGTGGTGGACCTAGCCCCAGACACCACTCCATGGTTTGGCACGCTCAGCATATCAGCCCTCTCACTGCTTCCAGCTGAACCGGTTCCCATGCAAACACATAGGCAACCGGTGGGTTTTCTTATTCAGTTGTGGGTCAAGAGTACTTAATAATATTCAAGAAGACAGTGTGACCTACGGTGTATTCTGACGGTAGACAAAATATGATCCTTCCACCATTCTCCTCTCAGGTTTGGAACAAAGAATTAAAATAGGAAAAGATTTTACAGAGATGCGAACTTAAAATTCGTCACTGCGATTATGTTCTGTATAAGAGCACGGAGAAAAGACAACTTTGGGATTCTTTTATTTTTTATTTCATAGCAAAAAGCTACAAAAATTAATGTCCACACTGACCCCAAAGCTCTCATCCCTGCCTCGGCTTTTTAAAGTTAAATAAACAGTGTGTCACAAGATCCTCCGCATACCACCCAAGAACACTGTGTGTCAGTGTCTCTGTGTGTGTCCACAGTGTCTGTGTGTGTCTGCGCTTTGATTTGCGGGTCTGTGTGCATTTTTACTGTATGTGTGGACACCGAGACAGATAATGTGTGCTGGTGTGCACAGGAATGTGTGTGGCGGCGAGCGAGGGCCGAGGATGTGTGCGACATGTCTGCAGCGTTGACGGCGGGTGACAAATAATGCTGACGCACGCTGGCCCTGCGCTTGATCCTGCCTTAATAAAAGAGCGTTGGTGCTTTGAACTTCCTAATTAAACTAAACAGGACCATCCCCGCCCAGGCCTCAGCGATGAGCTATGTACATCTGAAGACAAACAAGACCATCTTTTACAGGGCAGACATCAAATACATGTCCCTTTTTTTTCTTTTTTTTTCAAAGTCATCCTCGGCCCTCATGTTGACTTTCATTATTTCTAAAATCCATCTGGTATTTTGATGGGCATGTTTTGGAGGAAAAGGCCCGAAAGCCACAATGCAGGGATGTCTTAAAACAAAGGTCTCTGTGGTTTTGTCTGTTTCTCGTGGTCAACAACAGCCTGACATGCTCGACGCTCAGATAGCTCATGTCTGTAATTTTAGTATATGGCATCATTATTACAACACGTTAAACATTTTTCATGCAGTTTCGTGGAAATAAACAGCGCTGGTGATTTATGCGTGCTTTGTGCAAAGTCTATAAAATTTATAGCAGAGAGAAAGAGGATCCTCAGAGTTTGGACTAAATTGAGAGGGTGAGAAATTTCTGCTGAGATGTAAGTCCTGTGACAATAGAGGACTAAAGCATGGTTGTTTAAATCAAACTACTACAATCCTATTACTAATTTTCCTCTCAACTTATGCTAAAGCAGAAGAGTCGCCTCTCTTATTGTAAACAGGTTTTACACAGCAAACAAGGTCAAGTTGAACACAGTACCTACATCAGAGAAATGGGATGTGGTCAAAACTTTGAATAACATGTAACCACAGGGTGGGTTAATTTAATGATAGACCTAATATTGGTAATAAATATATGATGCGTTAAATAATCTCACTCTTTGTAAATAATGGGTTTAAAATTTCTGCTGATTGGAGGGAAAAAAAAATCTCCAAAAATCTTGACGTAGAAAATGCACATCTAAATATATTACTTACACTATAAGGGAGAATAAACACGTAGCCATTAAAATTTGATTAATTTAGATGAGATTTAAATGTAAAAAATGTAAAAAAAGTTATATACATATATACATACTGTATATATACATATACACATACAGATATTTATATTATTTACATAAATACACATAAATACAAACACATATAAATATATAGACACAAATATCAATATAGAAATTTCAAACTATCTTTGTGTTATTTGTTTAATAACTAAATGTGTCCAAACATGCTTCTCCTCCAAGAGTTTTGCTAAGTTTTACCATTATATTTTTGTCAAGCACCAAGTAGTGTTACATTTTATTTTTTTAAATCACAACCCTTCCTTTTGAGAACCATAGAACTAGTTTTGATCTTTGGTGAAATGCCAACGAGTCAAAGCACACACTTATCTGTTGATGTTAGTCAGTGCAATAGTGTGAGTGATAACCACCAGAGGGAGTCTTTCTAGTCAAATAATAGTTCCCAGTGGACTCGACTAAGTAACGTCCCAACATCTGCTTAAAATCCACATCTCCCGGACAGAGCAGGCAACTGGAATATTTAATGCCTTGTTTGTGTTGTTTTTGTTCCTGAGTTGCACCGTTAATCAAAGTAACAGAGACGACCTCCATGACATGTAATTATCATGACGTCACTTCATTATTATTAGTCATTATCACATACACTGATGTGTGTGTCCCTCTCTCCCCCTCTGTTTCTCTGCCTCTCTCTGTGTGTGTGTATATATATTTAATTCACACAGCTGGAAAGTCATTTCATGTCTGTCTGACTTTATAAGACTTACTGTTGTGGTGGTGCATGGAGCCCAGCCGGGGAACCCCCCACTGGTGGGGCAAAACCCAGGGTTGAAGGCAACAAGCAGCAGCTGAGCGGCCCAAAGGCCTATAAAAGGCCATTTCGCTTCGTCCCTGTTTAGTTTTCTGTACAACAACTACACGTGTTGATCACAGCCTGGAAGCCCGTCCCATTCCCTGCATACCCATGCTGGAGGAGGAGAAGGAGGAGAAGGAGGCGTGCAGCCCTTTTGTTACCTGTGTTAGAGTACCTGTCTGCTGGTGGGTAGTAACCTGGACACAGTTCTAGCTGCCTCAGAGGAAAGACGGCGATGAGCAGAGGCTTTAACTAAAGGCGAAATGCCCCGGGTTGACAAGGCACTGTGGGAATGCTGGGCAGGAAGTGTGGGAATTGTTAATTAGTCTCAGCCGTGGAAAATAAGGAAGAATAGGAGGCACTTCCTCCGAGAACTCTTACCTTTCGAGACCGACACCTTTTCTCTGGTGTTTCTTTTTTTTGTTTATTTTTTTGTTTTGTTTTTTTCTCTGGTGTTTCTTTTTTTTGTTTTTTTGTTTTGTTGTATTATTATCTGGAGTTAAAGTGGACTTCACGGCATCTCACCTGTGCTGCCGTTTCTTCTGGACCATGGATTTCCCACGGTGGAGGGACATTTCTCAACCGCTCCAACTTGATGTCGCGGAAAACAGACGCTGCGCGTGCATCTGGAAAGGTTAGACCAAGAGCTGCCACTGTGGACGGAAAGTGTGAGCACTTCATGTTACAGTGCATGGCCCCTGGACTTAGTGGCTACAACGATCATGCACAAACCCCTCCGAAAGCGGAGTCTCTACGTGTTCCTGTGCTTTGGCATCATATACCTCAGGCTCGGGTGAGTTTCACACGCGCAAATGCGCGAGTTTCGGATTGATTGCGACACTCAAACACATTTAAGCTCATTGCTAGAAATCTTAAAGTGTCCTCTGGCCGTACAGGCACAAATAGACCCCGAATCACCTTTCACTGTGTGTTAATAAACACATTAGATCGAATTCCAAACACCTGCACCCGGGGTACTGCTTGTGCGTAAAATGGCATCGGGGGAGGAGGGTGTGGGGGCTTACACCAAAAAATCAATATGCACATCTGCTGTCAGGGGGCAGTTGGGTTCACCTGAGGCGACTCACGTGCCCCTTTTGTCGCAAAAGATAATTTGAGCCGCTGTCTGTGCTCCAGATCCGTCTTACCTCTGCATACCTTCAGTAATAGTGCGCAGACCGAGTTGCATTTCCACATTCCATTGCCCAGACTGAGTTTTTACCTGTTTTGCAATCGCTCACCTTGATGCATGAACATCAGACCTGCTTTTATCCTTTCCTTTCCTTCTCTGCTGTCTCAGTCACTCAACACCACTGGATCACCCAGGTCGACGCAAATCCCCCCTGTGATCACGTCGTTCTGCATTTTTGTGCACGTTCAAAGCGGTCGTAAATGCCTGGAATGCATTTGGTGGACAGTGTAACCGGAGACATTGAAACATTCTGATAAATGAGTCTAATGTGGATAAATGAACAGCAGATCATCAAACGTCAGAGCGTCACCGTCATAAACCCTCTCATATAATTGTCACCCCTGTAGCTGTGTTGTGACTTTATTTTACTTTTTTTCCTAGCTCTGGGAAATACAATTTTCAAGATGTACGTAGCCTCAATAAAAAAAAAAAAAAACAGATAGCGCCAGCCCTCCCCGTGAGCACTTCGTGTGGAGTGGAGCGTGTAACGGACTCCCAGGTCTCTACAGATGCTCATATCATATAACGGTGTGAAGCTCAGATATTTGGGAGGGAAGTTACCTGCCTTTGTGTTGACTAAGCCCCGGCAGTTAGATCATTCCTTCCATCCCTTTCTCTCCGTGCCTAAATCTTTCATGGTACCCTCTTCATTTAAAATGACTGGAGCCTGCAGGTGTTGAGTGAGGCTGACGATGCCGAGGCGATAAAAGCCCTCCACTCTCCCTAAGCTCTGCTCCAAGGCCCCACGTATTTGATTTCTCTGCACAGATCCAATCTCGGACAACAAGAGTTCTATTTTTACACCCCACCATTCACTCTGGGATTTGTTTTAAGTAGACATGGAGTTTGTTTTTGTTTTTTTTTTTACAGCAGGGTTACAAATGAGTATTTAAACATTACGGGGTGAAGGCCATGAAAGACAGCAGCAGCACAGATTTAATGTATAGGAGACGCTTATAGGAAAAGTATATTTATGACTTTATGGAAATATAATAGGAACATTGGCTTTAATAGATCTCACTGTTATTGTATATATGGACTTATCACTGTACGCTCTACTACACAGTAATACACACAAATATTACAGGAATGACTGAAAGAATGCTGCGGGTTAATATTACACAGAGTGGTTGATTATGAATGACATTTACTGATTTTTTGCACATGGAGCTGTGATTATGATGTGAGGGCAGCCAGCGTCTGTTTGTTTATTTTTGGCTGGATGGTGGTGCTGCTGGTGGTGGAGGGTTCTGCGGCGGGGAAGTGCGTATGTTGGGGGTGGTTGAGGAGGTGGAGGATGAATGAAACCTCCTGCGCATCCAAACGTCCAACGGGGATCGGATCAGTGTCACACCATTGTCCCGCTGTGGCAAAGTGGGCGGATAGCAGTGTCTCTCCCTGCCCAATGGCAAACACGACTCTCATGAGAGTGGAGAGAGGCACTTTTCTGCCATGCAAAATCCCTAAAACCATCATCATCATCATCATTCCGGCGCAGGAACCCACAGTCCTGAGTGAGAGCCTCTGCTGCTCAGAGATGACAGAGCCAATCTCGGCGCACACACGGCCCTGGGAGCTTGGAGCTGCGTAGCGCCGTGCCAAAGACACGCGGAGACGCACGGCACACGTTTTTCTTCTTGTGCGAAAAGGACCTAAAGCCGTGATTTAAGGGATTCTTTCCTAATCCTTTCCGCGCCTTCTCACTGAGTCCGAACGTAGCCATTTGCTCCATGTCATCATGATCATCTTCTCGTCGCGCAGTGTACTGCTGTCAGTCTACTATCCGCAGATCTTCCTCATCCTGACCAGTGGCAGCTACCTGTAAGTTTCGGCCAATTAATGACTCTTACTTATTAATAACTTCACACCATGGCGCGTAAAAGCGCAAAGACGCACAGGTTCGGTTTTCACTGTCGTGCAGCTTCCTTGCCAGACAGTGCAATTTATTCACACTTTCTGTTTTCTCTAAAATGAATCAAGTCAATGTAATTTCTTTTTACTTATATGGTGTCACCAAAACTTCCAGGGCACGGAGAAAGCTGAGGTGCAACTTGATGCACGCTGAATTAAAGACTCGTATTTTCCAACACATCAGTTTTCTCAACACTAAAAACCCCCCCCCCCCCCCCCCCCCCATCACAGCACTCACCAGTGAAAACGTCGCTGTGAAAACGATCCACGTTAAAATAAGTTATTTATATAAAAACCCAACACGTGAAAACTGCGGAATTGCAAACATTTAGAGACAGCAGGAAAATGAAGTGCCTTGCTAACTGCTACGAGGGATCACTTTGGCCACAGAGTGGCAGAGATGTTCAAGACAATCGGATGCTGGGTTTCTGTCCGTTGTCACTGTGCGGAGAGTGGAACCGTTTTTACGCATACGAGTGCCATTAACCTGTCAGAGCGCGTCAACCGTGATCAGTGCGTGTAACCTCACCTCTGGTTGACTCACTTTCCTCTCTGAATATATGACATGTGTATTAACACACTTTCTCAAAGGCACATTTCTTAAAATACAACTAAAATAATGTTATTTTTTGATTAACCAAATTGTTTTTTAAAAATAAATATTTATTATTTGTTGAATAAAGACGCCACTTCTGGTGTTAAATCATTTTGAGTTTTCAGTAAAAAGAGTTAAAGGTGTAAATGTGCATGACTTTTCAAAGCATATAACCGTAGAGTTCAACAGATATTTTCATACAGTGGGTCTCGAAGGTAAAAACGTGTCCAGCAGTCTGTGTGTAACGTGTACCGTGTGACCCACTGCTACTACACACCGTTTTCGATACAGGGATAAAATTTCATTTTGTTACATTGGCAATAAAAACGTCCATCACACTGACTGTGAATGCGAATAAACTTTTAGTATTAAAACGTATTTGGACCAGAACCTATGGAAATGCTTACACTGCAAATGCTGCTCAAAGGCAGCGGAAGAGGAAACTCATATCCATCATTGCAATTAATTTGCACTCCTGGAAAATAAGGACATCTACTCCCTTAGTTGAGTTGTGTCTTGGGCATTTTTGTGAGTGCATTCCTCGGTCGAGGATGCATGCCTGGGAGCTTAATAGTGTGTCAGTGAGGTTCAAAGTGTTCCATGTGATGGAGTAGGTGGCTGTGAGCACACTGTAGGCCACGGTGCTGACTATGGGCTCTGCCATACCCTGTCATTAAAAAATCTGGAAGCTCCACATGTGGCAGCTTGGATGCTGCAAAGGTCAAAATGAAGTATTTTTCAATCATTCAACTGTAAAATTTTGTATAGATAATAATTTTTAAAAAAGCAGAATAAATGTTACTTGTACGTTAGTTCTCATATAATAATGTTTGGTCTGAAATGCCTTTGCAATGATAAAACACTTTCACACGAAATCCACAGGAATGCTTTCAGATAGGAGAGGTTTACTCAAAGAATTTGGTTTGTTTTTATTAGGACAGTTAAATCATTCCACCTGTTTTATTTTTAAAGGAAACAACTGTTATTTTGTGGATTATTTGTGACTCAGACTCGGGGTTGTGAGTCAATGACTATACTCACGTTTAGTTATTTCTACGATACATTTTAGAATTCGACAGATGTATAACATAGTTGTAGACAATTTTGGAAAATGCAAGAGTGTTTCCTAAAAAAAAAAATCAATATAACACTCCCTTAATTCTTCAGTGATGTGTATTTTTCATGCATCATAAAAAAAAAATCTAAAGTCTAAAGGTTCATTCAGTGCGAGTCTGTAAAGGTCAATTAATCATTTATTATTTGACAAATTGTTGCGTTCCTACTCTAAATCATCTCGGACTCATGCCCGTGTTTTCTGTTAGCCCGGTGGTTATTATCTGTTTGTGCAGGCCAGCATCTGCTGCTGATCTGTCTCATGGGAGATCTGTGTGACTGTGGGCAAATTGTCCCCATGCTGCTGCCGTACACACAGCGTGTACGCTAAGCAAACAGGATCACATTTGTGCACTTTGATGATGCAGGGATTTAAAAGCTTAGCTGTGGAATTCTCTGTTTGGTGTTGTCTGAAGGTTTTGGGTTTTGGACAGTGTTAGATGACGATTCTCTGAATTAGCAGCTGAACGATATGTGAAAGAGCCAAGAAGGGGAGGTTATGCGAGTCCACTCTTGGAAAATACCAGTTTGTGTTAGATTCTGAGCAGACCCGAGCAAAACTACAGTGTGTGTGAATGTAATCGGCTATTCTTTTTTTTTTTTAGAAAGATATTTAAATAGCTTAAAATGTTTCATTTTAACATTAGTACTTTACTTCCCTGGCCCGATGGTGCAGACTGGACGTCACGGTTGCCCTGAACAACGACATATACAGCTCAGGGTCAAAGCGGGTCAAAGGATTTCATGTCTGTTTAACAGCTGAGGGAGCAAAAAGGGTTTTGAAAGCATCTGCAGGCTTCACTGTTTACTGTCCATCTCACCTGCAGCTGATGTTTATTCATTTCTGTTCTTTTCATTAAAAAAAACTCACAGTAGCTTTCGCTCGTCTATTGTAAAGAATACTCCCGAAGGAGACCGGGAGAATGTGCGCAGCCTGAAGTCTGGTCAGAGATACGCATCTCACTGCAATTAGAACCTATTAAATATGTGTTTGAAATTGAGATTTATGTTTTTCTGTGTGGAAAAAAATCAGTGGAAAGGGAAAACGGTTATCCAAGAAAGATTTCTAATCAACAATAATATCTTTGGTTATAGAGCAGGGGTCTCTAACTGACATCACCGTGAACTGAAATCCACTAAAATTAGACTCTGTTTCTCCCTCTTCCTTCACCCTTTCCTCTTCCTTTTCACCATTTAACGCCAACGTCATTTTGTGCTGACACACAGTTTCCCCGCTGCAGTTTGCCCACATTTGTGGTGAATCCTTTGGAGGTCTACGTCATACCTCACGGCCGGCGTATATGCTCTGTGTTCATTTATGGCTCCCTGTTCCTGACATGTTTGAAAAGTATGGATCTACATGGTTTCAAGGGTTATAAACAGAGCCGTGCAGAGAGTCAGCGCTTTGTTAGGCGGTAATCTGTTTTGGCTTCCTCGGCGGTCACAAAACCATCCTTAACATATGTTTTGATATTATCGCGTCCACCTATCGGATGTGACAACGGAGCTCTGAGACCGAGCTGTGGCCATTTCCTGCACAGCACATTTATACTCTACGAGTTATGACGAGCAGTGTTGAAAAGCTAACATCCAGAATTTTCCATGCAGACGATTCTGAGGATGTGGGTTAGAGTCCTAGCTGCCCTCATAAAATGTACAGACTTTATTACTTTAAATACCGTTTAAAAACATAGTTATATAAACATGTGCAGAAAAGGTAAAGGTGTAGACTGATGAGAGCCAGGTCCATATATGCTGTGTGTGTTTTATTTTAATATGCCTGTCTTTCTGTGACTGCATACTTGGTTGTGAATGAATCCTCACATCTGCCTGTTGGTTTCTCTAACTCCTTGCAGGGCCCTGTCCTCGGTGGTGGCTCTGGGCGCCAATATTATCTGCAACAAGATTCCCGGGCTGGCACCTCGTCAGCGGGCCATCTGCCAGAGCCGCCCAGACGCCATCATTGTTGTGGGTGAAGGCGCACAGATGGGCATCAATGAGTGTCAGTACCAGTTCAGATATGGACGCTGGAACTGTTCGGCACTGGGGGAAAGGACAGTCTTTGGCCAGGAGCTTCGAGTAGGTCAGTCTGAGTTCTGTCACCAAATGGACAGATCACAGTGGGTGCTCGTCTGTGTGTTGATGCATGTGAGCTGCGATGTGAGAAGCTGTTTGTTGAGTTTCTGCTGGTGATACGATGTGGAACATGAAATCATTGTGGGTCACTGCTTACGATTAGTAAGTAAAATGAGGATTGGACTAAAAAAGGTATTTACTCTCACTTGCTTATAGTCACTTGGACTGCAGGTTTGATTAATTACCAACAAGAAAGTCGCTTCGTTTTTTTCACTCCACCAGTCCCATTCTAGGAGAATAAAGTTTGCCATAGCTATGTCAGTAGGGCCGGCCCTCTGTGGACATAAACCCCTAGTGGCAGTTTGTGAACTAAAATAAATGCATTGACACAATTGTTAATGGCCGATGGTAATGGATCCAGAGGCTTGTGGCCAGTGTTGTATTACTGCCTCTGTTGTTTGCTTCATTTTGTGATTTACAGCAGTTGGCGTCTGTGATGTTGCTCAGTGAAGTTTCTACAACACGACCACTATATCACAGTACACCTTTTATAACAGTATCACACAATGATACATCTTGCTATCGTTGGCGTAGAACATCACGATATGACGACACCGTGAAAGTTGCGTGTGTTTGTTGTGTCCGTGTCACCGCAACGCACAGCTGACATTGAGAGCTCTTAGCGTTGACATCTTTGATGATTAATTGTCATGTGGTGGAGATCAAGTTGGGAATCATGAAGCTTAAATGAAAAAGCAAGTTCAGAATGAATATATCAAACCACCATATTTTCATACTGAGCAAAAACTACACACAGAGTGTGGTACCAGCTCCCGACCTCCTGAACCCCATGAAATACAGCTCTTCAGACTGCACACATCACACACAGTCAAAACTGAAACCAGCGACACACACTCTCTTTGACTCTCTGTTTTGTATCACTACTTGTGTTGCCTTTGCTGCAGTGGGTTTCATGAGGTGTTGATTTCCATCAATCAGCTGTAGAAGCCATTCCTCATTCCTTCTCCAATATGATAAATGTCCCCAGTGTCGTCTCTGGCTTCTGTACGTGGAGCCCCTGCAGCGAGCACGCATGTTGGCTAACATGGCATTGATCACTGGGAGAATGTTACAAAAGCTCCAACGAGGGGAGATGTATGGATGAAAAGTGATTTTGCCAATGAGCAGACAGGCCATACTGTGACGGCACGGAATCGCTGTCAAAATGTTGACACATCTGTTGCTAATTGGGCTAAATTGGTTGTATCCGTGCTTGGCTGGTTCATGAGAGGGTGCGCTGCGGATAAACATTTACATTTATGCCATTCTTGTTCGAGAAACCTGGTGGTCCTTGGAGTTTCTTTCTGCATCGCTTTTGTTTTCAATACGTCTTTGCCAACATGTTGTGGATAAGCTGTGCATCTAATTCAGTGGCTCTGTTAACAATCACTCCTCTTGAGGAGTAGCCTAATTAGCTCCAGCTCCCTCTACAAAAGCATTTTTTCTTTGATCTGAACGTGGCACTTTTCTTTTGTTAGGCATTTCGTGATGTTTTCTCCAACCGTCGTCGTTCCCTCCTATTTTTGTGCTCGTCTTTTATGCACAAAGGCCGTACATGCGCCAGTTCATTGGAAGCATCTGCACGTCGTCTCCACACTGTGTGTTGTCGGCACATTGAGAAATTCTCAATTCAAACAATGTATAAAAGAATGCAGCATATAAACTTACTCTTCATCGACAGTGGACTTCTGTATGTTGGATACCAGAGGTTGAGTTTGTTATTTCATTGTAATTTCATAGGTTTGAACCTATCTGAAACTGAAAAGTAAAATATATATATCTTCCATTTATCCATATGCAAATACTAACTATAATAATAGTAGTATTAACGCCACTGTGTAAAAATGGCGAAAGAATATATGCATTTAGAAGTGTAAACATACACATCCTTACAAAGTAATTTTCAATTTATTTTATAATTGTATTAATACAGTCAGGCCGTGTAGTCTTTATGCTGTTTTTTTAAACTGCTTTTTTATTTTCTCCTTTTCCTGTAAATTTTTGTCTTTTTTTTTTTGTTGCTGCAACATGACAATTTCTCCTGCGTCGTAGTAATCTAATCTGATCTAATCCATGCGTTTGGCACCAACAGTGAATCATTCTTTGAGTTTTACTGGCATATTTTACCCTTAGGACTTCTAAAACTGATATAATAGAATTTGAATATTACTGAATGAGCTCATTTAACATGTTCTCTTTTTACTAACACAGATAAAGATAAAGGGAATGTAATGTACTTCAAACATTTGAAATGCACGTGCTTGCCCTTTACATAGTGGTCTGCTCAAATCCACTACAGTGTGGACAAAGTCTAAGCCACTCTCTGGCCGTGGGCAAACAGAGCACCATCTGTCGCCTCGTGGGTCTTCCTCTTTAAGACGTTTATTTTCCCAAAGGTAGTGACGTTATCTAAATCTCTTTTTTTACATTTTCTCTCTGGTTTGGTTTCTGTAGTAACTCCGCCAAAACAAGTGCATCATGTGACCACGATGAGGACATCACTAGTGGTGTCCAGTTTGGTCAGGGTGATGACGACTGGCCCGGCCTTGATTGTCCAATAATGATGGGAATCTGAGGCCCTCAGGATGAATAGTATCCCATCATGCTTCAGTCTAAACCCTGAATCCACAGTGTATTCACATGGACGATTCACTTAGACTTCTTTTGCAAAAGATTGCTACGATCCGCACCAAAAAAAAAAAGAGAAAAATGCCATTAAGTAAGAAAAATATTCAGATAAATATCTGTGCTCATAAACATCCTAGTTGGAGAAATTTTGTTTTTTAAGGTGGTATTCCTCCATTCATTACAATTACAATTTTTACGATCTCCGTCACGTCTTGTTCATGTTTTTGCTGCATTAATGCAGCTGCTTCGCTGTGAAATAGGGCGAGACACACCTCCAGCTCCTTTGTTTTCTCTAGTATGGTGCGTGCACATCACCCTTTTCTTTTGCAGTTTCCCAAATATACAATTCTTTAACAAAGGCCTCTTTATTCCAATGAAGTTATTGAATTTGTCCTATATCAGATTTGATCGTCTTTATTTTAAAATAATATGAGTTGTTATAAAGGTATTATTATAACAAATGTTCCCTGAATAACTATGTAATCAATAGTAATTCAGTTTTTTTGGTTATTTAAAAATGCTGCATTTTACAGGTGTGGAACACACCAATACTATGGATGCCTTAACAACAACAACAACAACAGAGAAAATGTGCAGTTGCAGGTGTGTTTTGTAGTAAACATCAACCAAGGACACGTCTGCGAAAGACGAACTGCTGACAGAATGTCCAGCCTGGTTCATTATGCTGTCAGTAGCTTTTTGGGATGAAAGACAAAAAAAAAAATGTCCCTCCCTTGAAGTCTCATCCAGTGGAATGTGTCTGTATGTTTTTTCACCGATTGTTAATCTGTTACATTGAACGTCCTTATACTAAAAAAAATGTTTTTTTTTCCTAATTGAATGGATAGAAACCACTTTAACAAAATTGCATGTAATGTGACCAACATTTCTGTATACATTGGAGAAAATTAAATAGCGATGAGCTCAATTAACAAATGAACCATAATATGATAGAATGAATATTTGTTTCCATTTACAGTCATTTCAAAATTATATTTTAATTTATATTTGATTTCTCTGCCATTTCCCTTAAACACAACACTGTCATTAAGGACACCAAACTCCTCTGCAGCATTAATGATTCATTGAAAAAATAAATTAATTAAGAATGGCATGACATTCCACGTTGCCGCTTCACTGTACAATACAACATCAGTTGCTGTGATAGTTTCCAGTGTTTGTTTCTGACGGCTGACGATATCCATGTTTTCTGACCATGTCTTTAGGTATTAGGGAATTCTTCACATGGCATATGAAATCATGGAATACACTCCCTTCAACCAAATGTTCCAATCCCTTCTCCCAATCTGCAGATTCCCACATCATCATAATCAAGTTCAGGGGAACAGCTATTCCCTGTTCCGCTCCCATTTTAAGTTTTTGATACAAATCCCTCAAATTATGAACACTAAACCTTCTCCCCTCTTCTGTAATCTAGCCATACATTTGAACTGGAGTGAATAGATTTTTTTTTTCAGCGCCATGATCAGCCAACCACAAGTCTAATGCACTCTCTCAGTGCAGTCTGCTCGTGGAGGCGGTCCTTCTATTATGGAGCTTCTCCATGGCTTTACATTTGCTTTCCAACAGAGCACACATTATGAGTTTGGTTATTGAGCAACACTGAGATATCTTTATTCAACTGAGGTAATTCACCTTCAAAGACAGGTCATTTGATATTTATTACACCCGCTACTGAACATGGAAAAAAAAAAAAAAAATGTTGACTGCAGAAGAAGACTTCTGCTGGCATCTCGTCTGCTGAATGTACAACTTGAAGGTTTTGACGGATTGACGGAAAAAAAAAAGAAAGCACCCCCGTCTTTGTTGCACTTCTGCAAAAAAGAACGCCGGCTCCCTTTTTATGCCACATCTGACAAATTGGTGAACAACGCCATAAATTTGCAATGAGATTTGAAACTCATAATTTCAGTGCATCTCTAGTTCCTCCGCAAAAGCAGATTTAACAGTCTTTCCCTCGCCTGTGCCCTGGTATGGTGTTGGCAGAGTTTAAAAAAATGTGGAATGAATTATCCTCCACTAACAGAAATGGGTGTCATTGCGGGGCTTGTTGCAGTCTATTACGAAGTAATAATAAGAATTACAGGCAGATCCGTCAGCAGTGGAGCGGAGTTTCAGGAACAGGATGGCAGCCGTGGTCAATCCTCCAATCACAGTCTTTGGCTTGGTTTCTGGATGAATCACTGTCTTTTAAATATTCTTGTCAAAGCTGATCCTGTGGCAGTAATTTGTTGATGCAGGTTTATCGTGCATTTTTGAGTGCCTTCGCTCACGCGTGAAGTGCAATGAAAACCCCAT